TATCATCCTACATCTCTTCTGCTCTTTGTAGCTAAACTTCTTGAAAAGGCTGTCCACAATAGGTGTCTCCACTTTCTCTCCTCTAGCTATCTTCTTAACCCCTTACAATTCAGCTTCTGACCTTATCATTCCACCAAAACTCCCCCCCCAACAAAGTTACCATTGAGGAGGCAGCTAGGTGGCACAGTGGATAGAGTACCAGCCCTGAAGTCAGGAGGACCTGAGTTCAAATCTGACATCAGATACTTGACACTTACTAGCTGTGTGACCCTGGGCAAGTCACTTAACCCCATTGCCTAGCAAAAAACAAACAAAAAAACAAAGTTACCAATGATCTCTAAGTTGCCAAATCTAATGGCCTTTTCTCAATCCTCATTCTCCTTGACCTCTTTGTAGCCTCTGACACTGTTGATCATGATCTCTTCCTTGATACTCTTCTCTTTACATTTTGGGGACACCATTCTCTGTTGGTTCTCGTCCAACTTATCTGACTATTCCTCTGTCTGCTTTGGTGGACCTTCTTCCCGATCATGCTCTCTAGGTGGTACAGCCACCAGAGATGTGAGACTGGAGGTCAGGAGAGAATTTGGAGTAGGACAGGTAGATCTGAGAATCATCAGCATAGAGCTGGTAATTAAATCCTTGAGATCTGATTTGATTGCTAAGTGAAATAATACAGAGGGAAAAGAGAAGAGTGCTCAGGACAGAGCCCTGAGGGACACCTACAGTTAGAGAGCATGATTTGTTTTTTGTTTTGGTTTTTGCTTTTTGATGAGGCAATTGAGGTTAAGTGACTTGCCCAGGGTCACACAGCTAATAAGTGTCAAGTGTCTGAGGCCAGATTTGAACTCAGTTTCTTCTTACTCCAGGGCCAAAGCTCTACCCTACTCACTATTTTTCACCTCTCACATCCAATCTGTTGCAAAGGTTTATCATTTCACTTTTGTAACATTTCTCAAATATATTCTCTGCTGTCCTCTGATACTCCCACTATTCTAATGCAGACCTTTATCGTATCACACCTGGATTATTGAAATAACCTCCTGGTAAGTCTGTCTGCTTTAAGTCTCTCCCCACTCCAATCTATCTTCCATTGAGCCACGAAAGGGATTCTCCTAAAGCATAGGTCCAACCTTGTCACCCCCCCCACTTAATAAACTCCAGTGGCTCCCTATTCCTCCAGGATCAAACACAAATACTCTGTTGGCATTCAAAGCCCTTCATGACCTACCCCCTTCCTATGTTTCCAGATTGCGTACACCTTACTCTCCAACTCCATTACAGAGATATTGGCCCTGGCTGTTCCACAAACAAGACACTTCATCTCTTGGCTCTGGGCATTTTTCCATGCCAGCAATGCTCTTACTCCTTGTCTCTTGACAATGAAGGACAAACACAACAGCAACCACAACCACTTTTCTGGAAAGGAGTGGAGCTAAATTCTCCCAGACCATGGCTATCTCCATTCATGGGGCTTGGCTATGGACCTAGCTTTCTTTTTTTTTTTTCACTGCACTTAATCTCTGCCCCTCTTCTTTCTTTCTGGAGTGCCTACTCCTAAACACTTATTTTCAAAATGGCCTGCTCTTTTTATGAAGTGACTCATTGCTTTCTGTCTAGTGCAAAGGTTCTAACAGATTTTAGGGTATTTGTGAATTAAGATGAAAATAAAGTCTTTATTTTCACTAGCCTCTGACTGAACTTTAGCCTTTCTTTTGATTTAAAAAAAAAAAGATCCACAGATTTCATCAGACTGCCGAAAGGTTCTGTAACACACAAAAAGGTTAAGAACCTCTGGTTTAGAGTGATAACCCAAATCTGTATGAACTCTTACTTCTGTGCAATTAGAAAACTTTACAAAATACAGATTATTAATGCTAGTTATTAATAAAATTATAACAGTTTAAGCCTACGGTTATAAAATAAATTCCCTAGAAATTTTTGCCCTACATGAAGATCCTCTTGTAAAAATTCTGTTTTCAAGTAGCCAAAGACTTTCCTTATTTCCTTATTCTCCATGGACCATTAAAGTCACAAAGCAAAAACAATTAAAATCAGCCTTATCTTTTATCTAGAGAAAGCCACATGTGAGGTACTAATAAAATAGTAGGAAGGTTAACAAAGGGAAAGTGAGATTTAGTGTTTAAACCTCCACCATCTCAGATGAAAAAGGGAAAGAAAGCAGAACTCCCAACTACTGAATTTTCATCCCAATAAAGTTTATTGATCATCAAACACTATCTCCTGCTCTGTCACAGCTCTTCCTTCTGCCAGAAGACACCATTCTGGTGGAGCCTGGGCGTGCTCAGTAGCCTTTTTCTCTGCTGCTATCATCTTCCTGTCTATCTTGTCTGGGCATCTGTAGATGACTATTGGTGTGTCTGCAAACATTACACACACACACACATACACATACACCATAGCCATTGTTACTATGCTCCTCTCAGAATTGAAACCAAACTCCCACCCTAGATACATTGGCTCAGCCCTCCCTCTGAAGTCCTGGTACTCATTTTCTACGTGCCTCTGGCACATACCTTAACTGATACTATTCTCTCCCTTTGAATCCTTTGTCCCATACTTCAACCTCCCCGCACCTATTTCTGTTCAGTCATGTCCAACTCTTCATGACCCCATTTGGAGTTTTCTTGGCAAATATACTGTAGTGCTTTACCATTTCCTTCTCTAGCACATTTAACAGATGAGAAAACTAAGGCAAACTGGGTTAGGTGACTTGTCCAGGGTCACACAGCTAGTAAGTATCTGAGGCCAAATTTGAACTCAGATCCTTCTGACTCTAGGACCAATGTTCTATCCACTGCACCACCTAGGTGCCCCACACAGTCCATACTTGTAAGGAGCTCACAGTTCAGTGGGGGGAGATAACATGTAAACAATTATGAAGAAACAATACATGTGCATAAATGATAAATTGAAAATAATCAACAAAGAAAAAAGCACTAGAATAAACTCAGAGAGTAGCTGCTATATCTCCTGTCATGGTTTTAGAGGACCCTGAGGAGTTAGGGAGTGTCTTTCATAAGCCCAACCAGCCTGTGTCCCTCAATGATTATCAATTTATATCAATTAGTCAGCCAGGCTTAATTAACTTTTAGAAAGAGGTATTTAGAAATGCTGGTATAGTTGGTATAAAACATCCCTCCCACATAAAATCCAAAAGAGAATGGGTTCAAGCTTAGGGATCCCATGCAGTAAAAGGGTAACTCACAATTCCTGTTTGCTGGAAGTCTTTTTCTCACCTTTGTGAGATATTCATGTTCTCCTTAGTTATCATGTAGCTTCTCTGTTGGGCTCATTATACAGCCTTGCAGTTGCCTTTCCTCAATGGGTCTGGTTTGTCTTAGGCTACTAATGCAGACACTGCATCAGCTGCTCCACAGACACTGTTAGGACTAGGAAGCTAGTGGTAAGAGAAGTCCAAAAGACCCAGACCCTCTGAAATTCACAAAGTCCTGATCTGGTTGGGGGTAAGGAACTGGGGGGAGACCAGAGATTATCTGGAAAATTTCCACCACTAAACCCCTAAACGTTCAGATCAGATCTGAATCAATTTAATATTTTATATTAAAAAACCTCATAAGGTATTACCAAATCTCTCAATCAACCAGAACAGACTTCCTGTCACACCTAGCTGAAATGCCTTTGTTGATTCAACAGAGATACCTAGGCCTTATTCACACCTAATTCACACCTCTGATTAATGTCTGGACCAAGTGCAGTGGGGTAATTGATTGATTCAAACACTTGCATGCTTACACTAGAATGAAGTTCCCTTTTAGTAGGCTGAGAGAAAGGGGTTTGTATGTTTCTTTGCTACCCTATCAGCATTAACTAGATCTTGGGAAGCAGAGAAGGTATAAAGAGAGGCATGAAATTTATAAAGACATTGGTCTCCTCTCTTCATATGACTGACACCTCATTAATAATGACCTCTGACATTTATATAGCACTTTAAATTTTGCAAAGCACTTTACATACCTTCTTTCATTGGAACCTCACAACTCTGAGGGAGGGAGGCAGTAAAGGTATTATGCACAGTGCTTTAAAGATGAGGAAATTGAGGTTCCCAAGGGTGAAACCATTGGCCCTTGATTACAGAACTAACAAGCATCAGACATAGGTATTCCTCACGAAGTCCAGTGTTCTTTCTTACACTGATATTTCAGCTCTTGGTGGCAGGGGTTTTCCCTGAAGATGGAATGATTTCCTTAGCTTCTGTAACATTGTTTTCACCTGGTTCTCTTCCACCTCTGCTTGTTCTCAGTCTCGTTTGCGGATCATTGACTATTTCCTTTATGAGCATTCTCCAAGACTCAAAGCGAGCTCCCACCAAATACCTCCTCACCATATGAACTGGGGAAGATGCTAACTATAAACTTTTCAAGTGTGATTTTGATTTACTGGCATCCAATCAGAGGATTTTATTCTAGAAATCTCCTTGTGCAGCCAAATTAAGATGGGGTCAAAAATGGAGATCCTAGCAGAATGAACTTCAGAGATCATTTAGTCCAAATGTCATTTTACAGATAAGGAACTGAGGCCCATAAAGATGAAGTGATTTGATCAAGGTCTTGCAGGTAGCTAGTAGCATAGAGGTAGAATCGGAGTCCAGATCCCCTCATTCTAAATCTATCCTTTTCACTCCCCCTCTCACCAATTTAACTTCTGTCAAAATGTTTGCCTCCTACTGGTCCTGTTGACCCAGTGCCTAATCTTCATTAGAAAATCAAGTTTTTATTTAGCTAATTGTGCTCAGCTTTCTGAAGAATATAAATGTTAAACTCTACTGCCTGAACTATAACCCATGTCAGGATTTTGTATACAGAACAAATATGATTTGATTATGATAACAGAAATACCAGGGCTGTTTCTTCATTAAACATTGGCTTTTGGTTAAATAATGGGGGCAAGCTGGGTTCACAATGACATCAATAACCACACGGACTTGTTTGTGGAAGGTCTTGTTTATGCATGTGTTTGTGGGAAGTCAGACCTTAAGTGCAATTTGGTGCCTTCTCTGAGCAGCCACCTCAAAGGCTTCTTTCTTCAGTAACTGGAAGAAAGAGAAGAATAAGAAAAACTGATCTCCTCATAACCTGCTGCCCCTGGCTTTTTCAGTCTTCTCACACCTTACACCCCACCATGTACTCTGTGATACAATGGCACTGGCCTCCTTTACTGCTCCTCACATACAAGACACCCCATCTCCCACCTCCAGCAATTTCCCTGGTTGTCCCCCCATGCCTGGACTGCCATTCCTCCTCATCTCTATCTTATGGCTTCCCAGGCTTCCCTCAAGTCCCAGCTAAAATCCCACCTTCTCTGATCTCCCTTAATTGTAGTGCTTTCCCTCTGTTGATTATTTCTAATTTATCTTATTTAAAAGGTTGTTTATATATATAGTTGTTTGCATGTTATCTCCTCTACTGGATTTTAAGCTCCTGTTTTTTGCCTTTCTTGTATCCCCAGTACCTAGCATGGTACCTGGCACGTAATAGGAACTTCATAAATTTGTATCGACTTACCGCATCTCAATTTTTCTATTAGCTTTCACGTAAAGATATCTCCAAAGAACCTAAATGCTTAATATCAATTTATAGAATTGAGTTGGAAGGAACCTCAGAGTGCGAATAATCTAATTCTCAGAATTCCAATCCTATCACCAACAAATTCAGACTTTCAGTAACAGAAAACTCACAGCCTTCTGAGATAGCTTATTTAACTTTCGAGACAGCTAGGTGGTGCAGTGGATAGCGTGCTGGGCCTGGAGTCAGGAAGATCTGAGTTCAAATTTGGCCTCAGACACTCAGCTATGTGACCCTGGGCAAGTCACTTAAACCCTATTTACCTCAGTTCCTTATCTGTAAAATGGGGGACACACGAGAGAAAGAAATAGCACCCTACTCTAGTGTCTTTGCCAAGAAAACCTCATGGATAAGTCTATGAGTCCATGAAGAATTGGATACAATTGGACAACAGATTTAACTTTTGGCCAGCTCTGATTAGTAAGAAGGTTTTCCTTATATCACATAGAATTCTGTCTGCCTACCACTTCCACCCATTCCTCCTAATTCCTCTCCCTGGGCCCAAGCACAAGAATTCTAACTCCTTTTCCATATAACAGCCCTATGAATACTTAAAGATACTTTTCATGTCCCCATTAAGTCTTCTTTCTGCTAAAGATCTACAATTTCTTTAAAAATTTTGTGGCCTGGCTTCAAATCTACTCATCACCAAAGTCACATTCCTGTAAACGTGTTTATGTGTGTGTGTGTGTGTGTGTGTGTGTATGTGTGTGTATATATATATACAAAATATATATATACACACAGACATATATATACACACAGACATATATATACATATATATACACATACACACATATGTATATATAAATGTAAACATATTCACTGTATTTTTTAAAAATTCATGTTTCATTTTACATACAAGCATTCAAATATGTGAAGGACCAGAGAGGTGGTAAAAGAAAATAACAGACAAGAACAACAAATAAAATCCTATCCTGTCAAAAAAAATCCAAACCAAAAAATTGGCAAAGCAACACAAAAAGCAAATAACGTGCAACCATAATCTCTTTACCAACTATTAAAAGAAACAAATAGAGGTGAACCCCATCAGATCCTGAAAGAGCAGCTTCAAAGTGATGTTGCTGCAGATAGAAGAGAGCAGAACAGAGTTCTGCGGGGGCTCCCATGCCAATTTGTATTTCCTGAGCCTAGGTAGAGGAAATGAAGACTCCACTACTTAGACAAGGACTGAACAGCATTTCCCAAAATGAAATTTGTCCTCTCTCTGCCTGGGTAACTTGAAGCATCTGTCACAAAATATGACAAAGATCCAGTCACATCCCTGAAGCTCCATACTCTAAAATTGACTTTGTTCAGCCACATACTGGCTCTATGGCCATCAACATGCCCTTTAACCTCTCAGTTCTCAAACATTTCTCTAAGGCTATAAATTACAGATGAGTCTCCAGTCTATATCAGTGGAGGGAGAGCTCATACTAGAAGTTCCATATAGCAATAAAATCACAAGTCTGGATCAAAATGATACAAAGACCATTTTCATTCACTGTCATTAAGTGGCATCAATGTCACCCATCATATTTGCTATAATTAATTTGTGTAATAGTTTGATAGTCTGTATTTCTTAAGTTATATTCAGTATACTGTTCTTTTGTTCTTGCATTTTTTTCACTCTAAATCTCTTCCTATGTCTTTCCATACTTTTTTAAACCAGAATTCAAGTTTGGCTAATGAATCTTAATTTTTATAAGTGTATTAATTTCTAAATACAACATGAAAGAGGCAGTTTTGCAGATGTACAATTAAGCATTACCACAGAAATTTTACAATGAAAGAAGAAATTTCTGATAGAAATTTTCTGATAGAAAATTCCTTTTATTACCAATAAATAGGGCCACCTGAGTGCATTTCCAGATTGGTTTCAGTTGGGGAGATCTGAATTGGTTGCTCAGAACATTGAATAGCTTTTGGACAAATTAGCAGCAATTGTGCAGCTGTGGGGTCCATACTTATTTTTCAATAATACTTATTCATTATGGAGAATAATCCATTACATTCCTCTGTCACAATGTACTTAGTCATTCTTTACTCATTGGATTCTTAGTTTGTTTGTAATTTTTGCTGCTTTCATCAGTAAACATTTCTTAATTGCTTGTCTCCATTATATATTCAATCTCTTGGTGACCTCATCAGGTCCCAAGTTATATCATCTGTACACAAATAACTCCCAAATCTATATATCCAACCCCAGTCTCTTTTCAAAGCTCCCATCCCACGTCACCAATTGCCTATTAGACATTTAAAACTGGCTGTCCTAGAGACATCTCAAACTTAACATATCCAAAACAGAATCCATCACCTTTCCTTTACCTGGAAACCAAGCACTCTTGCCTGTTTCCTTTGAAGGTACCATTATTCTTCTAGTCACCTATGTTTGTCATTTGTCTTTATTCTTGACTCCTTCCCTCACATCTAATCGGTTATCAAATCTTGCCATTTCTACTTCCATAACACTTCTTATATTCAACTTCTCTACAGTCACCATCTTAGATCTGGCCCTGGTCACCTCTTGCCTAGGTTACAGAAATGACCTCCTATTTGGTCTCCCTGCCTCAAGTTTGCTCCCACTTTAGTCCATCATCCATACTGTTATCAAAGTGATTTTCCTTAAGTCCAAATCTGACCATGTCATTTCCCTAATCAGTAAACTCCAGAAGCTCCTTATTGCCTCTAGGACAGCAGATGTTAACCTTTTTAATTATAGACCCCTTTAGCAGCCTGGTGATTCTATTCAGAATAATGTTTTAAAATTCATAAAAATAAAATACGCAAGATTATAATGGAAACCAATTTATTGAAATAGAGGCATCAAAATGTTATTTGGGGGGGGCTAGTCAATGGGTTAAGTAACTTGCCCAGGGTCACACAGCTAGTGAGTGTTATGTGTCTAAGGCCAGATTTGAACTCAGGTCCTTCTGACTCCAGGGCCAGTGCTCTATCCACTATGCCACCTAGCTGTCCTGAAAAATGTTATTTTTTTAAAGCAAGTTTACAGACCCCATGTTAAGAATCTTTGTTTTATTATGCCCAAAGGGCTACTAAACTGTGCATGCCCTTTGATCCAGCAATACCACTACTAGGTCTATATCCCAAAGACAACATTAAAAAGGGAAAAAGTCCCACATGTACAAAAATATTAATAGTAGCTCTTTTTGTGGTGGCAAAGAATTAGAAATTGAAGAGATGTCCATCAATTGAGGAATGGCTTAATAAGTTGTGGTATATGAATGTAATGGAATACTATTGTTCCATAAGAAATGGTGAGCAGACAGATTTCAGAAAAACCTGGAAAGACTTGTGAATTGATGCTGAAGTGAGCAGAACCAAGACAACACGGTATACAGTAACAGCAACATTGTATGATGACCAACTTTGTTAGACTTAGCTCTTCTCAGCAATACAATGATCTAAGACAATTCCAAAACATTCATGATGGAAAATGCTATCCACATCCAGATAAGGAGCTATGGCGTCTGAATGTAGATCGAAGCATACTATTTGCTCTTTTTGTTTTTTTCTTTCTCATGTTTTTTCCCTTTTGTTCTGATTCTTCTTTCACAACATGACTGATGTAGAAATATGTTTAATATGATTGTATATATATAGCCTATATCAGATTGTATGCCATCTCGGGGAGGGAGGGAGGGAGGTGGAAAAATTTAGAACTCAAAGTCTTATAAAAGCGAATGTTAAAAACTAAAAATAATTTTTTTTAATTAGAAATAAATTGAATTTAGGGGGGGGAAAGGATCCTTATTCTAAGATAAACCATAACTCCTCTGTTCAGTTTTTAAAGTCCTTCCTATCCAATAAAATCCAATCCAATCCAATAAACATTTATGAAGTGCCTACTTTATGCCAGGCACTGTGCTAAGCCTTAGCAATACTGTTGATAAAAAGAAAGACAGTCCCTGCCCTCAAGGAGCTTACTAAAGAAGGAGACAACACACAAAAGGAGGCAGGAAGGAGGGGTGGAAGGAACAGGACTCCAGGGATTAGCTGGCATGGGACATTAGTGGAGTGAATCTTCCTAGCCTCATTGCATATTCCTATCTTTCCTGTACTCTACATTCCTTCCAAATTGTTTTTTTTTCTATGCTCTTCAGACATAATTCTCCATCTTCCATCTCCTTGCCTTAGCATTGGCCAACCCCATGCCTGAAATGTACTCCTTCCTGACCTTCACTCAGAATCCCTCTCTTCCTTCAAGATGCATCTCAAGTACCACCTTTCACATGAAGCCTATAGTGATCCTCCCTCCCAAATTATCTTTATTTCACTCCTTTGAATTTAATCTCATTATAGCTAGCTACTGATTAGTGCTTTTAGATTTACAAAGCACTTTACAAATATCACATTTTATCTTCACAACAATGCTAGAAGGTAGGTGCTATTATTATCCTCATTTTATGTATGGAACAATTATATTTATTTTGTGTATACTCATGCATGTACTTCTTATTTTCCCCATTAGCCTGTAAGCTCCTTGAGAGCAGAGATTATTTTATACTTTGTATTTAGTACCTAGCAATAAGTTATTTAATAAAAATTAATTGATTATTTTGTGATATATTAAGATGATTATGTTATTATATTGCTCTAAGATTAATATAGTATTATGTACTATATTAAGATGGGAGGCAGCTAGGTGTTTTACAGTGGATAGAGCACTGGATCTAGAGTCAGGAAGACCTGAGTTCAAATCTGACCTCAGATACTTTTCCTATCTGTATGACCCTGTTCAAGTCACTTAACTCTGTTTGCCTCAGTTTCCTCATCTGTAAAATGAGCTGGACAAAGAAATGGCAAACTACTTCAGTATCTTTGCCAAGAAAATCCCATATGGGGTCAGAAAGAGTCAGACACAACTAATCAACTAAACAACAAGATAAATCTTAAAGGAAGTCAATGATCCTATGATCATTTCAGGAGGCTGGAAGGGAGAGCATTGCAAGCATGGGGGACAGCTAGTATGAAAGCTTGAAGACAGGAGATAGAGGAATGACAAGCAGACAAGTGCTACTTTGAATATTTTGTACAGATGGACATTTTCTCCCTATCAATAACCTCTTTAGGGTATAAACCTAGAAGTGGCATTTCTGCATCAAAGGATGCCAATATTTTCATAACATTCCATAATTCCATATTGCTTTCCAATTCCTAGCTCTGCCAACAGTTAATTAGCATACCCCAGATTCCTTTATTCCTTTTCCATGACTTGAGGGTGTGGGATATGGTTCTGGGATTGACATGATTGGACATGTCAAGCACCTGTTTAGGAATGCTGAAACTTTTTCTTTACTATTAAATAAGCTTTGTGGCTTCAGGAAGTTGATTGCCGGAGTAAGCTAAATAGGGAAGGTGAAAAATGAACTAAGAAAGTTCCCAGATGCAGACTGAGGACTCTAGTGCTATGGATTTTCCTGTTTATGATAGGAAACAATACTTTATACCAATCGCAAGGTTAGAATTTAGGACTTAGAAAGGTTTCTTTCTTGTCTGGCTTCAAAAAGGTGGGAGGCTCAATCATGCACACTAAAAAATATCTCATGCACAGACATCAGAGGGTATTTGTAAGACCACTGGGCTCCTGGATTGATCAAAGCATTTCCTTTATGGGCAAATTATACATTAAACTTCCTCACTGATTAGTCAATAAAGTGACATTCGATAAGGGATGTCCCTAAAGTTTTATTGTGGTTTTAAGTTTATTAAAAATGAATGATATCACTTAATAACGTGATACCCTGTAGAGGATGTCACTTTATTGTTACTTTAAAGCTTAAATTAAAATTTAAAGCTGTGCTAAGATTTTTGGGACACTTTCTGTAAGCTTATAGAAAGCAGTACACAAGTCAGTGGGAGTTTCTTGTACTACTACAATACAAACGTCACCAATTGCATACAACAGCATACTGCATTAGTGTCACACGAATGTAGATATGTGTATATATGTGTGTATGTGTATATATGTATATACATATATACATCCACAAAGGTACATGCTACACATATGTAAGATAAGAGTCACCCAGACTTCTCAACTGAATCAATTGGCAAATATGAATAAAGCTTGTCTATATCCATTGAATCAATCAATCAAAGGCATTTCAACCAGATAAGATAGGAAGTATATTAGGATTGGTTGAATTAACTCAGTCATGCCCTGGGGAACTGTATAAAATGACAAGTTAGTCAGAATTCCAGCATTCAACTGTATGGCAAGGTAGAAGAGAGAAACATCTAGCCAAGCCCTTCAGAAAGAATCACTTGGAGAGAAGGCAAGATAGATCAGAGGGGCTTTGTGAACTTCAGAGGGTTGGAGGATTTGAACACCTCATTAGCATCCTAGGATAGCCACAGTTGACAGTGGTATCTGCATCAGAAGCTGAGGACAAGCTAGACACATTAAGGAAAAGCATTCTAGACTGCACAAGGAGCTCAGCAGAGAGCCACAGCAGTACAACGCTTAGGGGAACGTAACGAGCACTCCAAAAGGGAAGAGAGAAGGACTTCCAGCAGTCAGAAGCTGTGAGTTACACCTATACCAAATTTGCTTTCTAGGGTTGATCCCACTTTCCCTGGGCTCTGTAAGTACTGGGAAGAGGTTACATCACAGAATTTTTGAGGGGAGGTTTTGTACCTACTATGCCACTTTAGTGAATACCTGATTCTAAAAGAAGTAAATCTGGTTCACTAATTGACTGATTGTTGTTGTCATTCACTCGTTTTGCATTTGCTCTGACACACCATGATCCTATTTAGGGTTTTCTTGGCAGAGATATTAGAATGGTGTTGCCGGCAATCATAGTGCACCGAAAGGAAGAGCGCGAAATAAACTTGAGACATGGGCCAGGCGGAGCAGCAGAACTGACTCAGTTTATTCATCTGAGGGTACAGAATGCATAGAGAAAATCTAGCCTAACTTCAAAGAGTCCTCCTCGTAAGATAATCCCCAAAACATCTGCTGAGGACGTGACAACATACATTTCCTCATTATCAGGGTTCCTAGATTGGGTTGTATTTTCCAAGGTTTTCCCAGGTGCCTTGGTGCCACCTGCATAGAGGAGTGAATGTGTAAATCTAAGGTTCAAAGAGTGAGAAGGAATGTCTCAGGAGCCTCCCTTGCAGGGGGAGATTTGAGCCCTGTGGGTTAAGCCTGGGCAAGAGTCAAACCCAGATTGGACTCTTAGAGCCGGCCCTCAACAGAATGGTTTGCCATTTCCTTCTCCAGCTTATTTTACAGATGAAGAAACTGAGGCAAATAGGGTTAAGTGACTTGCCCAGAATCACACAGCTGGTAAATGGCTGAGGCCAGATTTGAACTCAAAAAGATGAGTCTTCCTGTCTCTAGGCTCAGCCCTCACACTACACAGTACATCACCTAGCAAGAATAATTAATACAAACTGATAATTATTGGGGAAAATATGTTAGCTGTGGTTAATGAGCTGTAGTACTACAAAGATACCCCTTTGGGGCCACACCTAGAACCCTGAGGAGAAATGTAGCTGCTGAGAGTTACACCTGCCAGTGTAAGTCTAGACTAAGCATGAACCATTTGAATTTATTTGAGTACACACACACATACACACACCTCAGTAGGAATGACTTTCCTCAGTTAAACAACGAAGCTGTAACTCTGGACTAACAGTCTTCAAAAGATTCCAGCCAGAATTCCCATTCATGTCTGAAAGCAAGCCCCTAGCCTTTTCCTATTGTAGTGGGACAAATACTGGGCTCCAAGGCTTGATTTCAAGTCCCCGACTCTATCACTAATTCCATATGTGATCTTAGGCAAATCAGCCCCCTGGTCTTTACCACCCCGTCTTAATGCCCTTATATACTTAGAGGATTGGACAAGACAAACTCAAAAATCCCCTACACCTCTAGAATTCTTTAGGCTTCAGGTTCCTCATCTATAAAATGAAGGAATCAAACAAGATGGTGTCGGAGGTCCCTTCCAGCTCTTGATCAATGATCCTAAGATATTATAATACATTGGGGTGTTATATACATTATAACTATGACAAATAGATCAAATAAGAATGATATAAATATAGTATTTGGTGAATTATGGCTTGGTTAAGCATTCCTAAGTTATATTCCAATCATTCATTATCTCATGGAGATAAATGACCATGTGCAGTTTTATTACTATAGCTTATTACATTCAGTTATCAAATCATCTTTACATAAGAAAATCAATTTAACCCTCAAAGATTATATAATCTTCAAATAAAAATTAAAAATTAAATTATCATATTAGGCTTAGTATAGACCACTCTTGAATATAGGTTACGTCATTAAAATATGATCTCTTTGAAAGGATAAAAAATATAGAGAGATATGCACTTTAAAAAATTAAACAAAGTCATCATATGTAAAATTACTGAGAGAAGCCAAAGAAAGATGAACTTGAAAATATGAAGAGTTTCTAAAATCTTGAATATTATTAAACTCAGTCCCATTTATTCCCCCCCTCAAAAAATGCAAAGTAATTATAATACTCAGTCACTTAAGTACTCAAAACAACTCATATTCCTTTTTTTCTAGTGAGCCTCAACTTTTCAGGGATCTATATAGTTTTCCAGTTTTGCTATAACTTATGAGACCCCTCTTGAAAGGAGAAAAAACTTGGCTTGACAGTCAAATAACCACCCCCTAGAGTTAGTTCCACCCCCTTGGGGACCTCTATAACACTCTTTAGCAGTGCTATCAAACTCCGGAATGGAGGCCAATAACCATACATGAGGATCCCTAAGGCCAGCATATTGACATAAAGCCAGCTATTTGCTCACTAGTGTTGTGGGCCACCATGGAGCCTGCTGCTGGGTATTTGACAACCCTGGGGTTGAGGTACACACCTCAACAACAGGAAAGCATTCAGGTGCTTAAGAGTTTAACCCTTCCTTTTGTACCTATACAATGAAAATAAGTCAGAGTACCCATGAGGAGTAAGGTCCAGGTTTGCTATACCACATCCTGGTTCTCTCTTGCTTACCTGCTCCCTCACCTGTCTGGTCCACATATTAAGCATTAGCCAGAAATTCCTCTTCTCCAGCCAAGAATTCTTCTGCCTGACCAGGAACCTCTGATGCTTCACCATTGTTGTTCCATTGAGACTGGTTCCAATTCTTAGATCTCCCGGTGTGACTGGGGGAGTTCTCAGCACTTTACTGTTGCCTCTGTTGGTCACCATTTCTAGTTCCCTGTGATTCAACAGAATGTATGTTTACACACTAGGGCCCCTGGAGAGGCCCAAGGTTCACTTAGAGATCAAATCTGAACTTGTGTGCAACCATGTGCTCATATCTCTCTAGCTGGGTTTCCTCTCCATCTCTCTTGCCTCCTTTTAAAGGCTAGATCAAAGAGTTTAACTCAGTTATTCACTAGCTATGGGATGTTATATGGTGAAATGAGAGCCTTTGAACTTCATCACCTTTCCAAAGAGATAATTCAGGGGCCAGAGCAAAAGCCTTATCTCTTAAAAAAAAAAAAAGTTCACCTCTTAATAAGGAATTAATCTAACCAAGGCAATCTTACCTTCTTAAGGAGATTGTAGAGGGATTTAGGAGAACCTTATCAGCCTCCTCCCCGGAATCCCTGTACATTTTCTTTAGGAAAAGAATTTCTAAATTCAGCAAATAGATTTGACGCTACTTCATGTAATGTGTGGGCAGTTAGGTGATGAGTGGATGGAGCGTCGGGCCCAGAGTCAGAAAGACTTTTCTTTGTGAGTTCATATCCAGCCTCAGACACTGTGTGACCCTGCCTCAGTTTCCTCATATGTAAAATGGGCTGGAGGAGGAAATGGCAAACCATTCCAGTGTCTTTGCCAAGAAAATCCCAAATGGGGTCACAAAGAATCAGGCACAACTCAACAGTGACTCAACAACAACATGTAATCTGTACCAACTGGCTTCCCTTGTGCTTTAAATTAGAGCATCGGTCTCTACAAATTAATGACAATGCTTGGGTCTTCCAAATTTGCTGCATTTTAATTAAACTTACACACGCATTGGTGTAAGGCTCAAACCATCAACAGGGCAAAAAAAAGAACCCAGAACAGCAGAGGAAAGCACACCAAAAGTATCCAGAAAAAAGATTATGCCATCTCAACTGAGTGACTTTTCAGTACTCCCTAAGTACGGCTTTATTTTGTTTGCAGGCTTCTGTAAAGTAATGAAAAAGAGCATTGTACTTAGAGTCAGAAATTCTGGGTTTGAGTATCAGCTCTATCACTAATTAGTCATGTGACTTTGCATCCTCTCTGGGCTGGGTCAAGCCAATTGGGTTTTCTCTGTTGTCCTTGGACAGCTAACAGCAGGAACTACTAAATGACATAAGCCACAAAACAAGGGGGTGGCCCTGGATAATCTAAGCTTCATTCTCTATGGGGTGTTTTACTCTTGAGACAGTATCAGAAGTTGGAGCAATGGAAAGGGACGCTATATTGATGCAATATTGTTCTGTAACTGATCTAGGAGTATGCCACTAAAATGTTTAACAACCAGCTCTGGGGGGGGGAGGAGCTAGACACACTTTTAAGTTTAACCTGCATTATTAATATTTTCTTCATCACTTTCTTAAGTCTAGTCTACAAAATAACAAATGATTTGTGTTGTTTGCTCACTTCTGAAGTACAAATGCACTCACTAAAGATTTAACTATTGGCTCTCTTAAAGACCTGAGTCCAGCACACCACTGAATTGATCCCAGACAGTATGTCAAAAACCAGTTGATGTTTTTCAAGGCGTTTCACTCTGTGGCCATAAACACACTACTTTATGATTTTGGACATTTGGTCAAGAGAGAACATTTGAGCTAGTAAGGAACAGATTTTACTGGCCCCACACAATAACAAATGTCTAGAAGAAGTGTGAGACTAGTTTCCAATGTGTTCAGAGGAAAGTATTACCATGTTGTGCTGCATACTTGAACAGTATAAGCACCAGCAGGCCATTGGAGCCTGTGCAAATAGATTTTTTTTTCTCTACAGGAAAATATGAAAAATATAAGCAATGTCCTACTGATGACTTACCATTTCACATAGTACATGCAAGCATACCCAACCAGGAATCAAAAAGCTTATCCAGTAACTAAGGTGTTGTGAGACAAGTAATTATCTGTTATGGAAGTAGGTGCTTAATAAATACCTCTTGATTTGATTTAACTTAGATGAGGCTTCCCTGCCAGGATCCACTCTGACCAAGGTTGAAACTTTCAAAGAAAACTATTTACATTGGTGTTGACTTAGAAAGAAATAAAGAAGTCTAAAATTATACCTTACCTTACCTTACTACCCTGAGGGAAATCCACAGCCCAGGTGTTTCAGTCTCACATTGCTGAGCATGCTGGGAATCTTAATTCCTACAAATAAGGTTCAGTGGAGTAAGCATGTGGCATTTCTAGTTCAATACTACCAGGCTTTCTCAAAGCATTTAGTCTTTGAGATACTGCTAGGAATAACACACTGGCCTTTACACCATACCTGCTGATATTTCAAGGAAGGCAGCAATTGCATTTTGATTTGGAGTCTCAGAAGATGCAGGGAGAGGGGGGCAGCTAGGTGGTGCAGTGGATAAAGCACCGGCCCTGAAGTCAGGAGGACCTGTGTTCAAATCTGGCCTCAGACCAAACACTTAACACTTACTAGCTGTGTGACCCTGGGCAAGTCACTTAACCACAATTGCATAAAAAGGAAAAAAAAAAGACTTGGGGCAGCTAGATGGCACAGTGTATAGCACCGGCCCTGAAGTCAGGAGGACCTGAGTTCAAATCTGGCCTCAGACACATAATGCTCACTAGCTGTGTGACCCTGGGCAAGTCACTTACCCCAATTGCCTAACCAACAAAACAAAACAAAACAAAAAGATGCAGGGAGAAAGGGGACGTGACATAGAGATTCACAGTGAGCACATCGCTTGGTTGAGAAATCAGCTGAAAGAGGTTTACCATTTGCTGGCCAAAGCTCAGAAAAATTCTGATGGAATCAAGCGAGAGGATACTCAAGTTCATTGTCAAGAGCTTCAGCAAAGTGATAGATTTCAACTAAGAAATCTTGGTTGCAGAAGGCCACATAGAGAGTGGACCACTGGAAATCCATCCCATACCAAGTGGTTGAAAGATGAGGCAATTTGCCAGATAGCCTTATAGAATGAGCAGGGTCCCTAAAAAGACTCTATAAAATAGGTAGATCACATTTACCTGTGGGCTGTTGGAGAGCTGGTCAGACTCTTTCATGAGCAGGAGGAAAGGGATGATAGAGAGTTAGCCAAGAGGATTCTAAGTAAAAGAACCCTCTCACCAGTTGATGGGAAAATGTCAGAGTTAGGTAATAGCTAAGACAGCTCAGATGAAGGAACTGGGTGCTGGGTATTGATACTTGCTAGAGAATCAGAGAAATCAACCCAAGGAACCTCTGTTCAAATAGATGAGAAAACTGATCTCAGAGGCAGCCCCTCTCTTGGCTAATCATCAGGTTGTGGAGGCACTCAGGGAACATAAGGCACCCATAGATCCTGGCATCAGTGACAGCCAGCCTGAGCTATTCATGAACTTCATGATTCTGGGTACTTCTGTAGCACTTGGGGTGTCTTTTCTCTAATGCTATTGATTTAAGCCCCAAATCCGGTGTGTTCTCCCTGTTGGTAACTGCCACTGCTTCATTTAGCCAATTAATATCAATTAGCTTTTATAAAGGTACTTATTTTAAAAACCTAATGTGAGTAAAACTCAAACATTGTCCTTGTTGACCTTGGGACACAGGCTCACCTATACTATCTCAATCCCTAGAGAAAGTGCTCTCAGACTATAGTATCTACCTAGCCTACATCTCACCAAGTTCACTTCCAGATGCTCCTTAGCCACTGGATGAGTCTGTGTCTCCACTGCCATTAGGCTGGGTCCTGAAAGTGGTTCCATTGGATTGTAAACTCCCTGAGGGTTTGAGGAGTGTTTTTTGCCTCTTTTTACATCCCCAACACTCAGTGCTATGACTGGCACATAGGAGGCACTTAATAAATGTTTATTGATTGTTGATTCCTCAGGGCATTGTCCCAGAATTTTCAGAGTCCTTACTAGCTACTGTCCAAATAAACCAGCAGAGGTTACCAACAGGTAAGCTGAAGTTTATTTATCCACTTACAGTATGACGATGCCACCAATAAGTGATGGATATGAGCATCCTGCAATTCTGCAGATATCTCTCACACACACACACACACACACACACACACACACACACACACACACACACAATGTTCTCTTCTCCTGACCTAGAAAGAGTGACAGAAGTGTCTCTTATGGAAGAAGTTTTGAATAAGATGGGATTAAGTCAGAGAGGCAGAAAAAGGTATTTATTAGGCGCTTCAGTTGTTACAAAGGAAAGAATGTGGCTTTTAGCCACTTCAAACCAGATCAGTCAGTTAATTAGCATTTGGTAAGCTCTACTAAAGTGCTTTATTAAATGGGATAAAGAGAAGAGAGTGAGTTCCTGGTAGGAGAGAGGTATTAAAGGAGACAACATTTGGCCTTAAGATGTTCTGAAATCCATGCTGAAACATAGCAAAAAAAAATAACTCAAAAAAACCCAACAAAGACAGAACAAAATGGAGTCAATTATGTTTCCCCCACCTCCCCAAAAAAATCCGCTTTTAACAGTATCATTGCTAAACTGATTGACTGCTAAATCCATCATGGATTCCACACTCAGGTTTCCTGGTGGCTCATTCTCTATACTTTTCATAAAATAGTCACTATCTCCAACCTGCTTCACTTCAAACAAGAAAGAATACTTTCAAAGAGGCAAAGAGCAGAGGCTCATACTCCCAGACTGCATATGGACCTTAGAAAAGGAGCACCTGAGACCCCTCACTTTCAGCACTATCTCTCGCTTGAATGCATCCAGGCAGAAAGGTGTCAGACCGAAAGGGCCTGGGCCTGGGCTAACTAGTGTCTTTAGAATGTGTCCTTTTTCCAGCTATGCAATGGTACTCAAGCGAACTGCATGGAATTCTAGTGTGAATGTCACCTGCGCATTGTACTACACCATTAGATGTTGGCTGTCAAAATATCTTGCTTAAGATACTTTTAAGATTTCCTTGTACACTCCATATAATGTGCTGGAAATGCAAATTATTTATTCAACTATGGAGCTTTGTTGCTGACAGATGTGCATAATACAGGCAAGAATATGGGCGGGGGCAGGGACGGTACTTTTTTTCAGGTTTATTTGTAACTAAACTGAAGGGGATCTCAGGAAAGTCTAACCTTAACTTACTTACGTAATGACCTTATTATTCCACAGAAACTGCTCTTTCCCAAGTTACTAACAATCTTTTAGTTGTGAAATCCAATAGCCTTTTCTCAATCCTCATTCTCCTTGACCTTTCTGCAGCCTTTGACACTGCTGATCGCTCTCTCCTCCTTGACACTCACTTTTCTCTGGGTGTTTGAGACACTACTCTTTCTTGGTTCTCCTCCTACCTATGTGACTGCTCTTTCTCTGTGTCCTTTGCTGGATTCTCTTCCAGATCATGACCTCTAACTGTAGGTGTCCCTCAGGGTTCTGTCCTGGAATGTTCTCTCTCTCCTCAGCTCTTCCTACTGGCTTCCTTTAAGTCTCAACTAAAATCCCATCTGTTACTAGAAGCTTTACCCTACCCTTCTTAATTCTAGTGCCTTCCCTCTGTAAATATTTCCTATTTATCCTGTATGTTGCTTGTTTTGTGTGTATCTGTTTGCACATTGTCTCCGCCTTAGATCCTAAGCCCCTTGAGGGCAGGGACTGTCTTTTGCCTCCTTTTGAACACTTTAGCACAGTGCCTGGAACATAGTAGGAGTTTAATAAATGTTTATTGATTGATCGAATTTTTACTAAGTCATCTGTTCATACATTAGGGTAATAAAAAAAAATCTAATCTTAGCCTGGGAGCACAATAAAGCTCTATCAGCCTGCCCTTGTCACAGAGAGGTTCTAGCAACTATACCCTAGTGGCTAACAGCCACCTCAAAAACAGAGAAGCAATGTGTCCTAGTTTTAGTGGGGTGAGGATTGAGGGAGAAAGAACATCCTATTGAAACTTTTCTTACTATGCTATTTTATTCAGTGCCTTTGCTTTGAACCAATTGTGTCTTCTGGCTAACTAAGAAGAATATAAACACATGGTTGAAATGTTGTGAATTGTGTGGACCCACAGAGTACTTGGTACAAGGATAACTGTTCTGCGAAGCCTGGTATAAGAGAGGGGATATGCCAAATGCTACATGTAACAGGAATGCTTAGACTAGTTGACATCTACAGTAGCCAGAATCGATCTTTCTCTTCTGGTATTCTGTGATCTGAGGTAAGGGCCATTAATTATTAAGTCATCATTCCCTTCTACCCAAAGAACAATCCATAAGAATACGAGTTTAAAAAAAAAAATATGTTGCCTCAAGATCTAAAGGATGCTAGGGAGATTTACTTTGAGAAAGAAATATCTTGCCAAGTTTCTCCTCCCTCTGATGGCCCTTACACATGAGTGGTGAGACAGATGGTAATTTTCCCACTATCCCCCTGCTTTTCATCCCTCCCAGAGTCCCATAGCATCCTCCCACCCCGCTCCACCACTTTCACCCCACCATCTTCACTGGACTTGGCAGGCACTCAGTCCTGGGAACAAGCTCTAACTTTTCCCAGTGCCACCTCCAGATCACTGCCCTCACCTAACACAAGCTTGGACCGGGATCCAGGCTCACTGGGGACTCTAAGCTAGGGGTGCCAACTTTCTCCCACATCTAGACTAATTAAAAGCTCACTACCAGCACTTGGTTTTTTGGAGGAAGAGCACATCAGGACCCCAGAACAAAAAGGCTGAGGAGGTGGCAAACAAAACTGAATCATCTTCACTTGACCTTTTAGTATCACTTCTACCATTCCATCTCTAGGACTCATCCTTGCTCTGTTGCAAAGTTTGGAAATTATATTGCGCCATGAGATTCACCAGCCCTGCTTACTTTCCCACTTTAACACTAGCCTCTGAAGCCCTGGGGTTATCTGTCTCCAAGTGAGAAAAATAGCCCCAGGCCTAGGATGAAGAAGTGAATTTACTTTGAGGAAAAAGAATCCTAGATCACAGACTTAGTGCTAGAAAGTAGCTCAGAGGTTGAATCCAACCCTTTCATTTTATGGATGAGGAAACTGAGGCCCAAAGATGTTAAGTGACTTGACCAGAGTGCCATAGCCAGGAAGTCTCTTAAATGGGATTCAAACCCATGTCTTCCTGACTCTATGTCTTGGTACTCTATCCACTAATAGACTATGTTGCTCCCCTACCCCAATTCCCAAAGGACATCTCCAATGAGATCACTGTGTCTTAAGATATCAGAGTGTACAAGTTGGAGTAGGGCTATCTACCCTACCTTTCCCTTGCAGATGGGTACATAGGATTTGAGGAAAGAAGTTATTACTGATTCTGTGCCTGCTAGGAAGGTTTAAATGGCATCTGTTGGACTAAGGAACTAAGAAATTCAATGCCTTCCTCAAATTTTATCCAAGCCAGACTTGGAGGGGATCAGGAGTTATATCCTATATAGTCATATTAGGAGGCAGCATGGTATAGTAGCAATAGCACTGGATCTGGAATGCAAGAGCCTGTGTTTCAACACTGCCTCTGTTTCCTACGTATGTGACCTTGAGCAAATCACGACCTGCCTGGGCCTCAGTTTCCTCATCAGTAAAATGAGGGGATTGGACTAGACAACTTAAAAGGTTTCCTCCAACTCTAAAACTATGACCAGAGGAACCAATTCCGTAATGTATGAAGGTCTTGCATAATCTTAGGTAGGTCATTTCACTCACCTTTGTAAGCCTCAGTTTCCTCATCAGTAGAATGAGGGGATTGGACTGAGAAGGTTCCCTCTGACTCTAAATCTATGACCCTATACTAGAGGAACCAATTCCGTAATTTATGAAGGTGCTGCACAATCTCGGGCAGGTCATTTCCCTAACCTTTTAAGCTCCAGTTTCTACACACTGGATCTGGCTTGTTTCTAAGGTCTGTTCTGACTCTAATTTTCTTCAAGTCTCTTCTGAAACATATTTAAGTGGAGTTTCAGAAAAGAGGACATGGAGGCTGTAACACCAAACGGCTTCAGGAGGACATTGTAAGGTCTTTATTAGCGGAGTCTGATTGTTTATTAACCACCCTGGGGCATTCTAATCATAAATGTGTCCGAGGGCAGCATGACATGATGGGAATACAGCCCCATCTCTGGTGCAGACTTATTTTATACCTAAATTTAATGTGCGTGCATAATGGAAAGATAGATGACATAGTTTATTATTCATCATGAATCTAGAGAAAGTTGACTAAAAATGTCACTTTTGGAAAATACAAGCTACGGCTACAAAGTAACCAGACTGACTCATTAACACCCGACCAAAGGCCAGTCCCATCACTTTCTAGTCTTAGGCCTTTTTGGCTCCAGGTGCTTTGGATGCTGGATGACAAGAGGTTTCACTAGATCCAGCAGACTTGCATTGTCCTGATTCATGCTAAATTATTATCTATGCAGCCTTTATTGCTGGGGAGTGTGCGGAAGTACTAGACCAACTAGAACATTGCAAAATATCAGCTATTCCTGTACCCCAAGTTCCAGATCTACATTAAAATGCTCATTCTTCATTAAGGAGGAATGAGTAGACAGATATTAACAACAACAATAGGAACAACAATAATAGTTAGCGTTCATATGCGCCTTAAGGTTTGCAAAGCACTTTACAAATACCTCATTTTATCATGACAACAAACCTGGGAGATAGATGCTATTATTATCTCCATTTTAGAGATAAGGCAACTGAGGATGAGTGATTTGCCAGTATGTATCTGAGGCTGGATTTGACCTCTGGCCTTCCTGATTCCAGGTCTAAAGCTCCATTCACTAAGCCACGTAATGGCCTTTTGGGATTGTGGATGGGAATAATAAAAGTTTGGAAGAATTCCCTTTCATATTGGATTGTCCTTCTGCCCTTTTGATGCCCGGAATCAGATTAGCTCTGAAAGCCTGGTCTCCTTGGCCGCAGTCTTTCCCCTCTCCAGTCCATCCTTCACACAACTGACAACTGGATTTTTTCGAATAAAAAAAATCTGACCATGTGGATTTCCTCCCCAAATATTGTCAGGGACTTCCTGTTGCCTGTGAGATCAAATATAAATGCCTACTTCTTAATGACCTGGAAAAAAGGCAAAGATAGCATGCTTATTTATGGCAGATGGTACAAAAACTATGAGAAGTAGCTAATATACCAAATAACAGAATCAGGATGCAAAAAGGATCTTGACAGGCTAGAGCATTTCGTCAAATCTAATTTTAAAAAATTGGGGGGCAGCTAGGTGGCTCAGTGGACAGAGTACTAGCCTGGAGTCAGGAAGACCTGGTTCAAATCGGGCCTCAGATACTAACTGTGCAACCCTGAGCAAGTCATTTAACCCTGTTTGCCTCAGTTTCCTTGTCTGTAAAATGAACTGGAGAAGGAAGTGGCAAACCACTGCAGTATCTTTGCCAAGATAACCCCAAATGGGGTCACCGAGAGCCAGACATGACTGAAAACCAACTGTGCTGAACTGAATTAGAAAATTTACTAGGGATAAATGGAAGTAGAGGCAGCTAGTGGTAGAGCACTGGGTCTGGAGTCAGGAAAACCAGAATTCAAATCTGACCTCAGACATTTAATTAGCTGTGTTATCCTGGGCAAGTCACTTAACCTTGTTTGTCTCAATTTTCTTTACTATAAAATGGGGATAACTTGTAAAGCACTTAACACAATTCTTGGTACATAGTAAATGCTACATAAATGCTTATTCTCTTCCCTTCTCCCTCTAAGGTCTTACGCTTGAATTAAAAAAAAAATCAACCTTGTAAGTATGAAATAGGGGAGGCTTGGCTAGAAGGTAGTTTGTCTGGAAAAAAAGATTTGAGTGTTTTAATAGAAGTAAAGTCCTACATACATTAGATATGATAATTTTTAAAAAGTTAATATAATCTTAGGCTCAGTTAAGAGAAGCAAAGTGTCCTGGACCTAGAAGATGATGGTTTTGCCATACTCTGGTTTAATCAGATCACATCTGACACGATGTGTTCAGTTCTGCAAGGCACGTTTTCAGGGAGAACATTGGTAAGCTAGAGGGTGACCAGAGGAGGAAAACCAAAATGATAAAAGAGGAGGAAAAATAAAACAAAAACTCTTCACCACATCAAATGAGAATTGGTTGAAGGATGGGCATCTTTAGCCTAGAAAGGAAAAGATTAAAGGACACAATAGCTGTATTCAAGTATTCAGAGGGCCATCATATGGAAGAAGGTTTAGTTATGTTCTCCTTGGCTCCAGATGGGGACAGCTAGTGCTAAAGGGTAGAATTTAGAAAGAGGCTGATTTCAGCTTGATGTAGGTGTGGAGGTAGAGCAGACTGGCAAGTGAGCTAGAAGTGAAAGGAGTAGCATGTCTGGGGCTTCTCAT